TTCAGAACCCGGCCTGCTCTCATGGTTGTCCTTCATCTAGTGTTCTGGAAATCCTATTCAGGATGACTCTAGTGAACAGCTTGTAGACGACAAACAACAGGCAGATTGGGTGATAGTTTCCAATGTTGTGGATGTCTCCCTCTTGTACAGTAGGACAGTCCTGCTGGTTTTCCATTGGGACGGACCCTTGCATTCAAAAAGATAGCTTGTGAAAAGCCGAGCCCAGTGTATTGATGAGTACTAATTGCAGATTCTTCAGGTGTTTGGGTCTGACCTTGTCTGGGCCAGGTGCTATTCGTTTCTTTACCGACAAAATGGCGTACCAGATTTTGGAAGGGAGATCGTTGGGAATGACATATCCATCTGGTGGAATTTGGTATGTAGGCAGGTAGACATGGTTATTGAAGAGATTCGAGTAGAAGTCATGGATAATCTTCTCCATTGCCCTTCTGGAAGATTTGATAGATCCATCAGGACGCTGGAAGGCAGTCATCTTGGTCTTGTTGTTGGCAAAGGACAGGGGGGTGTTTCAAATGTTTTTTCCATCTTCTGCCACATCGGCCAGCACTGCTGTTCTTCTCTCTTTGAGGTCTTCCTTTATCACTTCTCTGCTCAGCTTTCTGAGCTCGGATGTTCGCATGTGGTTGCCTGACACTCTAGCCCACCAACCTTGGCAAATGAGCTCGAGAGTTTTTGAAGATAGGCATCTTTTTGTGGCTTTCACTCCTTCGGCATTCCTTGCACAATCATAGAATGCTGAACCAGTCCATTGCATTCCTCATCGATGTTGCCAATGACTGCATCTTCCCATGTTGCCGCAATATTTCCAGAGAACTCCCAGTTGGTGGTCGTTCTGGGAGTTCTCTTCATAAACTTTGCAAACCTTTCTTTCCACTCCATGAAGTAGAATTTTGCATGAAGGAAATGGTGGTCTGATCCCATTTGGAATTTTCGGACAACAGCAACATCAGTCAGGCAAAACCGTTGATTGATTATGATGTGGTCAATTTCATCATGGAACTGTCTACCCGGAGATTCTTATGTCCAACGTTTAGTTTTGGCCTTCTGGAACTGTGATTTACTATGGATGGTCTTGGTCGACATGATGAACTCAGTCTCTCACCCTATTTGTTCCATTCTAGGCCATGGGTCCTGATGTTGAGTTCTTTGGATGATCTTCTCGGTCCTAACTTGGCATTAAAACCACTGACAATGATCTTGTAGAAGGTGTGGTCTTTATGGAACTTCTCCAGCACCTTGTAGAACTTCTCAATTTCTTCTTCATGGTAATTGGATGTTGGTGCATAGACAATGTAGATAGAAACTGCCTGTAGTAAGCCACATCTATTCAAGTGTAATCATCCGATTCAGGGTGTTTGATATTTGAATAAATCAATGCTCATGGCCAAGTTCATGTTGACAAGGACACTGACACCACTGACGCCTCTTTCGTCACATGTTCCGAGGAACAGTTCTTCTCCAGTGTCGAAAATGGTGTGATGTGATTGATGCCTTCTTGTCTCGGTCAGATGAATGATGTCATACTTGATCTTCTGCATTTGCACCATCAGGTCCTCGATAGATGCTTCCAATACCAGCATACGTGTGTTAAAAGTACAGACAGCCATGTTAGTCCTTCTTTGTTTTGGCAGCCTATTTCAGCCCTGAGAAAATTTATCAGCCTCTTCTTGCTCATCCTTCTTAACACTGCTGTATTGGATGCTCTTTCAGGGTCAGGGGAATAAGACCCATTGTATTTACTGTTTTTGGCATATTGAATACACCATGAATAACTTGCTAGGCTCTGCTGTGTGGTGGGATACTGTTGGCAGTGATTATGAGTCAAGTCCTACAGGACCAGGTAAAGCGGAACTTTGTGACCTTGGACTCCAGACTCAGTGAGACCCGGAAACAAAGATCCTCTTCATGCTTCCACCAATCTCCAGCAACCCAGAGATCACACCCAGAAGATCCAACATGCCAGAGCCAGATAAATACTTCATCGGCTGACCTTCACTACCCAGCCGCTGCCACATTCCAGGGCACATCATAAGACACTTAATACCCATTTTTCATTTTCATTATTACCGCACCATATTTCAAACCATGTTTGCACCATGGGAACACCTGCAAGTGTGATTAGAGTCTGCCCTAAAAGCCTCTATCCCTCTCAGAGAACCTGGCAATAATAATAATAATAGAATAATTAAGAAAGTGAACAGAACTCAGAGGAGTTGGTAGGTATGAAGTATAAGTGATTAGCAAGAATATAAGGTTCAAAAATCTGAAAAGATGATAAGACAATAGTAAATGATAGGGAAATCAAATAAAATATATTAAAATAGTGCGGCCTGTGTGTGTATCTGGGGGGCTTGTGTATGTAGGAGGTTGTGTGTATGAGAGAGAGATTGTGTGTGTGTGGAGAAGGGGTTGTGGTGTGTGTGTAGGGGGGGTGAGCTAAGTTTTGGCCACACCTGGTGGTCCTCAGGGACTATTCTTGCATCTGTGCATAAGAATCATCCTTAAAATGCTTTGGGCATCATATATTGCCAAGCACTCAAGCTGGGGTCAGCAGTGTGCAAGACTAGCACCTTAACTCCTATTCTATCTCTCCTGTCCCAACATTGGTCTTAATAAACAATTAATATCTGAGTAAGGTCTCTTACCTGCTTTATCTAGGGATCTGAGCTCATGAAAGAAATGTGTTAAAAATAGAATCAAAACAAAACCTGCCCCAAATTGAGTTTAACAAGCTCAGATTTAATAGCAAATATAATTAGCTAATAATCTCACACTTTCCTAAACTGAAATCTCAAATCAACCAATCTGGTTCTTTCTAACCAATACTAGAGAGGTAATTTGCATTGTATTCCCCAGTCTTCCTTGAGGGAAGATAACTACATGAAAAAATAATTATTTTCTTTGCTAGCAACTTCTCCCATCGTCTATCTGGCTATAAAATTCTTCCCTTTTGTGCAAGCCTTTCTTCTTACTCTGTGGGATGCCGTGTAATTCATGAATTATTTAATAAAACTAATGAGATCTATAAATTTATTCTGCCAATTTTGTCTTAGAAAATATCAATATCTTTAATAAGAAGGTCGCTCATCATAGACTCTGAGAAAAACTTTGCTCTCTGAGAATGTTTCACATAAAATGTTTCTGAACTGACCCCTTGAGTCTTTCCAGAATAAATTAGCAAATAAGACACAGACATCTGGAAAAGTCATGAGAAATTAAGTAGAGGCTGATACAGCTGAGTCTGGATTAGAATAGAACATATAATTTTCTCTGGCAATAGTTGGTGAAATTTCATTAATTATTCAAAACTTTTGACAATATATTAAGCTCCAAGCTGATATCCTTGCTAACTTCTTCTAGCCTGAAAAGAACATAGTTCTGTATACTATGGATGCAACACTGTAATTGAAGAAATAGAAGGAGGAAAGTAAGTTATTCCACACTCTTCTAGGGATTTACATCTCATTCTCACTGGATGGTTCTGACTACCCTTTTTGCCTCCAGCTACAGGAGTGGGAAATGGGTTTCCATGTGTTGGAAAGGCTGAAGGCATTTTCCAGCACCTGAGCACTGAAACCTCCAAGCTAGCATCTGTTCTCTTCTCTGACTCTTTCCCTGATTCTCTTACCCTCTTGTTACGAACCTAACAATCTGGACTTTCCCTTGCTCTATGGTGATATTTGTTTCGCAGATCAGAACTTTCTCAACTTTGGTGTGATGCATTCATGGTGTACTGTACTGGCCACACCTCAAGCCACCTTTAAGCATCCTGGTCCTGCATGTTATATTGTGTCTATCTACTCTTTCCAGGGCTGGAGCGATAGCACAGTGGTAGGGCGTTTGCCTTCCATGTAGCCGACCTGGCCGAGGAGGGTTCAATTTCTCCTCCCCTCTCGGAGAGCCCGGCAAGCTACAGAGAGTATCTCACCCACACAGCAGAGCCTGGCAAGCTACCCATGACGTATTCAATATGCCAAACACAGTAACAACAAGTCTCATGGTGGAGACATTACTGGGCCTGATGGAGCAAATCGATGAAAAATGGGAGGACTATACTCTTTCCAGCAGTTGTGTCACATTTCAGAGGCAATACCCATTCACTTCACATTCATTATTGAACAGAGATCATTTTGGTTCACTTTTCTGTGGTATATTTCTTAAACTCCTACATGACATGCAATAATTGTATCCCCTTACTGAACCAAGGAGTTTGCAGTTCACAGTAAGAGTTAAATACCATAGGATCATTTCTTGGAGATGATAATGGTTTTTCAATTGCAGGTGTTTACTCTTATGTGGGAATCTACAGCAATTTAATTTTTGCAAGAAGAAAATTTAAATGTACATTTTACAATCTTATGGAAATCACTCCCAAATATACTGGTGTCCTTTGAATTTATTCTCCTATTTCTTTTCTTTCTTATAAGATATTGTTTAGGCTGGAGCTATAGCACAGCGGTTGGGCATTTGCCTTGCACGCAGCCAACATGGCTGACCCGAGTTCGATTTCTCCGCCCCTCTCAGAGAGCCTGGCAAGCTACCGAGAGTATCTTGCCCGCACGGCAGAGCCTGGCAAGCTACCCGTGATGTATTCACTATGCCAAACACAGTAACAACAAAGTCTCCACTAGAGATGTTACTGGGCCCGCTCGAGCAAATCGATGAACAATGGGAGGACAGTGACAGTGACAGTGAAGATATTGTTTATTTAGGTACTGGAATTTACAATGCTGTTAATACCCTGTTTTATGCTCACCTAATCCGACACCACAACCATTGCTAGAGAGCCCTCTACCCCCAACCAGTATCCTAAGGGCCCCCTCCCATGTAAGCTCAGTTCCATAGGAAAAAATTATTACTTTCAATGACTTTGGCCATTTGATTGTTTTTTTTAATCACTCCTATTGGTAAACGAACTGAAAATGGGGAGGAGTCCACATTTTGTGGTTCCCTTCTCTGCCCCCTTCATGCCAATTTACCTGTGATCGCCAGCTGAGTCACAAAGAAGGTCATTCTCGATTTTCTCTTCCTCCTCCATGTGGAGAGCAGCACCGTGGAGTTCCCCACGATGGTGAAGATGAAGAGGACCCACAGAGTGATCAACTGCTCAGTCTATGAGAAGCAAAGTCACAAACACAGGGCAGTGAGGAGCGGGTGCTTGATGGAATGTAAGACTCCAGCTTTGGCTCTGGAATGTTTGCCTCCTGACTTCGAAGCCTCATTGGCAGAGTCTGACCCTCAAGAAAACAAATACACCAGGGACCTATTGACTGGGAGACTTGTGAAAATTTAAGCAACCTTGAAAATTTGCTACTTGCAAAATGTACATCAAGAGCCCAAAATAAGAAGTCTTTTATCCTTTGGCCAAACAATTTAAGCCTTTGTGAAAATTCCCAAAATATGAAAAAGAACACTATAATCACAAAGATGTGAGTAGTTATTGTAAGAAAAAATTAGAAAGTGTTTAAAGATAACAAGATAGTTAAATAAAACACTTAAATTCAGTGAACTATTGTGTAGTTATTAACAAGGCAGCCATGAAGATAATGTAGCAGCATTAAAAATGCTTATATATAATGGTAAGTGGAAAAACATGATGAAATTGTATATTGGGTATGATTATAACTTTGCAAAATTATACACAGAGGAACTAGACTGAAGTATACTGAAATGTTGAGTGGTTATTTTAGGGTAGTGTGATTATGGGTTATCTTACTCATTTTCTTTTGACAGATTTTTATAATATAGTAATATTAAAGTTCCACTGAATAATGTATAATTAGTAAAAATAAAAAGCAGGAGTGCCACTGATTTAAAGTGCCAAGTATTCTATTAGAAGTCCTCAATAATTCCTTCAAAGGGAGATTTTCATCTGTTTTAAGTCATAGCAGAGGGTAAGCAGAGTCACAACCTGAAGCAGGGGAGTGTCTGGGACTCAGGAGATACTAAAGGAAACCTGGAATCCAAAGTTCAGCTCATAAGCCCCCCAGAGTCTGGGCAGAATCTGGTCCCAGTGCACAAATCTGTCTAGAGTTTGCAGTAATTCTCCTATGTTGAAGAGAAAATCAAAAGAGCTGAGGAAATCTCTTACGATGGTAACATGTTCCATGTCATCTTGACGAAGCTATAAGGTAAAGGTAAAGGTAAAGGCCCTCCCGTTGATCGTCGATTTGCTCGAGCAGGCCCAGTAACGTCTCCATTGGAGACTTTGTTGTTACTGTGTCTGGCATATCGAATACTCCCGTAGCTTGCCGGGCTCTCCGAGAGGGGCGGAGGAATCGAACTCGGGTCAGCCATGTTGGCCGCTTGTAAGGCGAACGCCCTACCCGCTGTGCTATCGCTCCAGCTGAAGCTATAGTCTAGTTATTTTGTCAAACTACTTTAGGATGTTGCTGTGAAAGCATTTTGCAACCGTGACAAATAAAATCAGGTAACTTTCAGTAAAGCTGATTACCCCTCACCTAGTGAGCCTCTTTCAATGAATTGATAACCTTTAGGAGAAAAATCTGAGTCATCTCAGAGAAGATGGAATTATTCTTCAAGAATTCCTCAAGGAATGTAGAAATTGTGCTGGAGCTTTCAGCCTGCTGCTTGCTTTGTGGATTTCATATTTTAGAGTCCCCACAATCATGTCATAAAAATTATTTAAATGTAATTTCTGTCTTTATATATATAGGTATATGTTACATATATATAGGTATATGTTATTTCCATTTGTAAAAATAATTGTTACTAAAGATACATGTATATAGGTGCACAAATAGATATGTGTCTACAAACGAACATTATTCTATTGTTCTGTTATTTATTTATTTTGGTGGAAAATTCTGATACTTTTCCTGAGTATTTAGGTGTTATGAAAGTATTATTTTTTTGTGGTGGGGGCCTGGTGGTGCTCAGGACTTACTCCTGGCTCTGTCCTGGGAAGGCTCAGGAGACCATATGTGGTGCTGGGCATGGAATAGGGTCCATCACATGCAAGACAAGTACCCTACCTACTATACTATCTCTCTGGCCCTTCTGGCAATATTTTAGAGTAAATTAAGCATAATGACAAAATAACAATTACAGCATTTACTATTTATGAAACTCATAGATAATCTACATGAAAACATTTTTAAAACTCTAACAATTCACTTCATATCAAACTCAGATGCCCATTGGGCACGATTCTCCATCTTAACCAACTCCTTTCTCCCCTATGATAACCATATTGTGACTATGTGCAACTGGCTTGAGTTGTAAGGGGAAGCAACCTGTCCACATAAAAGGGCAGTTAGCACTCTGGAGATCAAATTTGTTGTTCCAGGAATCCCAGAGCTATTAACTTTGCTACTTGGACTGGCATAGGCGGCACAACTCTCACTTCCAGAATGCAAATGTCATCTTCCATTCAGGGGGCACAGTTTTTGCTTTTAATTAGTACCAGACCCCCATACTTTTACTCTAGTCCTTTTATGACAGGTTCTGGGCAAAGTGAATTCTTTGCCACAAGCATTTTGGCTGCCAACAATGTGTGTTTTATAGCTAATTATTTCTAAGGTAATATTTTCATTAAGGGTAAAATATGTGGTTGGCAACTTGATCTGACAGGTTTTAAGTCTGGTCTATGCAGTGGTGGTAGGTGTGATGGTCTTAAAGAGTGCACGTGAAGTCTGAGAATCAGGCTGCAAATGCTGCAGTGAGCAGTAATCTTGTGCCGTCAAACTAAAAATTATCAAACTATGACAAAGGTGCCATGTGGGCGGGATACTCTGGGTGGCATATTCGATATGCCAAAAATAGTAACAACAAGTCTCACAATGGAGATGTTACTGGTGCCTGCTCAAGCAAATCGATGAACAATGGGAGGATAGTGCTTCATGGCACAGTGCAGTGCTACAGGACAAAGGTGAAAGAGGCAGCTGGTAATTTGCAACAATTTTGAGTATATTATTTATCAATTTTTAGCTAATTTAGATACAGCAGCTCCTTTTAGGCATTTTTACCAAGAGCATCATGCAGCTACTGGAAGATTGAAACAAAAAAGAATCGAACTTCTTCCACCCTCCAGTGAATACATGCACCCTGAGTATAATTTTCTTGAAAATAATGATCTTTTTTTCCTGCTTCATAGTGGAAAACATGATGTAGACAGAATTTTGGTATTTGGGACAGAATCTGATTTCAATAATTTGCTAAAATATAAGGTCTGGACAGGTGATGGAACATTTAAATGTGATCCAGATATTTACCAGCAATTACATACATTGCATATAATGAAGAGAAGAACATTAGATGCATCATCTGTCAAATGAACAGAGGATTTTACAAATGCAGTGCAGAGCTTAGTCACAAACAAGCTTTGAATAATTAGGAACATGTAGTTCTCTTGATAAAGTAAGAAATTTTGTGAAAAAGAAAACAGCATTTAAGTATGTTGTTTTAATATTTCTCTTTAATTTTTGCAGTTTAATGTGTATTTATTTTACTGCAAAATTGCTTTACAGCCAATTTGTTATGTAACAAAAATGTTTGCAGCATAAAATGTTTGCCACGAATTTTTCAGACCTATTTAGAAATAGGTCTGACCAGAAGGGGTCACATTCTTCTGAATGACTCATTTCTCTGTCAATCTAGATATGCGTGGCATTGAGAGAGCATTGGGAACAGGAAGTCATTATGAAAAGTTCTTGTCTGAGTAGCATTAGGAAATGGGTTTTCATAAGAAAATCATCTTCTTTGAGGTACTCACAGAACTGTTTCATCAGGAGCAGATGCAGAGACCTTTGATGTGTTAGGTTAGGCTCACATTCAGAAGAATTATGTGGTTGGAACTTTAAGGTCCTTCCTTTGAAAATCACTGAGTAGCCTGGAGCTATTCTTTTATTATTGTTATTGCTATTGTTTTGGTCCGGGGGCTGAGATCTCCAAGCCTGCTGGAATAGGGCCTGAGCATCCTCCACCCAGATCCTCCAAATTCCAGTAGGCAGGGGTCACACACACCAACTGGCCCCCTTGTGCCGTGTAATCCCATCAGCGGCCAAGACTCAGAGACTATAGAACCCAGCTCCTGGAACCACACGGCCGCACGACATCTTATTATGACATCTTATCTCATTCCAACTTTGGACAAACTGGCAGGCTACTGAACGTAACCAGCCCACATGGCAGAGTCTGGCAAACTCCCCGTGGCGTACCCAATATGCCAAATACCAGTGACAATGATGGGTCTCATTCTCCTAACTCTGAAAGAGCCTTGAATATGGCACTCTAAAAATCTCAGGGCTAGGACGAAGGAGACGTTACTGGGGCCTGCTTGAGGCAATCGACGAATAACAGGATGGTCGTGATGGTGATCGTGATTGTTTTGGTTTGGGGGTCATGCTGGCAATGATCTGGGCTTACTCTTGGCTCTGTGCTCAGGAATTACTTCTGGCATTTTTCAGTGGACCATACATGGTGTAGGAGATCAATTGTGAGTCAAATGCACGCAAGGGCAAGAACCTTAACTCTTATACTCTCTTCACCTCCCTCAGAGCTGTTGTTAGTAACTTCTCACCTTGCTTCCTCAACCTTCTAGAATTTCTAGGGAAGTATCCAGACTCTAAGAGGCCTTCTGCTTGTAAATTTTGAATTTGATTCTGAGTAGCTACTAGAGGGTTTTGGAGTGATGTTTCTCAAAGTATGCTCTGTGGCTATAATACTATGTGAAACCTAATTTGCTTAACTCTAATTTTATCCAGGCTCCAAAGCAATTACTTTTAATTACAATCATTTCATGATCTTTATAGCATTCAATGTACATTGCTTCATTGACTCCTTCTAGCCAGACTGAAAGATGTGGATTTATTATCACTAGGTTTGCACATAAAGTCAATGAATCTCAGAAAAGTTTATTCCAGGTTCAAAAGGGATCTGATTCAAGTCTAGTTTGCTGGACTCTGCCATTTCAACTTTTAAAGAGCATCAGCCAAGACTATATGTGACCAGTTTAGTAGCTGCCTCTTTTTCAGTGTTTGTGTATAATATAATGGACTCAATTGACTATCAAGTTTTTTTTAGCCATACACTCTATCATTGGGCTGGAACAATAGCACAGTGGTAGGGCCTTTGCCTTGTGTGTAACCAGC